CTAGTTCCGAGAAACGTACGTGTAGCATTTCCACAAAAGCTGCAAATTGATTGGCTACACATTTCTCGGAACTAGAACTTGGACCAAGTCGTAGCATCGTGGACGCAGGCCTATCTCATAATAGGGGACTTTCTCTCTATAACTTACAAAGAGCAATCCTCCTTTTCCTTTCGCTTCTTCCTTCTCTATTTCTTCTTAATATAATTGAGACGGGCTCTTTAAGGGAAGAATTAATTATACTGCGAAAACATTTCTCGCTATCATGTATCGATCTTACAAACCGCTGGGAGCTCAAACAACCGCGGTAAGAAGGAGGAACAAACTACAACGTGTCGATTGCGTCGATCGTGCGTGACGATTCACGGTAGGTCGGCGCGTTCTTGCAGACGGTAAACGTCCGACAGAACCGGGCAGGGAGTGGTTACACAGTCGCTAAGACGAAAAAAAAGAACGAAACCAGACGGACGGAGGGGCGAGAAGGGGGGGGGGAGGGACGAAGGTGGAGGGTCGATTCTGTCTCGCGGTGTATCGTCGAGTGCAATGGCCAATCGGCCAACCGCATTTTCATCCTTCCGGCGCGCCGGCACGCCGGTAATAACGACGTCGTTCGCTCGTTATTAACGCGGTCTCGAATCTACGATTACGTCATTACGAAGCGATGTTCGTCGAATTGAGGCGGATAAAGGAAAGCCCGCGGGGCGAGACAGGACGAGAGTGCGTTTTCCTAAGGGCGCGTCCCGTCGCGCGTGATCCGTTGTGTTTCACTCACGAGCGGGGAAGACAATGAAAAGACGAGTGCTCGTTGGAGAACGCCCGCGAAAATGCTGCGCGAGGGGCGCGCTCTCTTCGCAAGAAACCTGGACGAGAGACACGATTTTGTCATTTACCTTTATTTGATCGAATCTTTGGATATTTATGAAAAACTCAAAGCGAGGCGTTTAGGCTCAACCATAGACATATTAAATGCTTATGAGGCAGCGGTGTCCTAAGTTGGGGCACCTTCCCGAGGGAAAAGGATAGTATGAATTTATTTGGGTGGTCTATCTTTCTCCGACTCTCGATTCGTGCCCACTGGAAGAAGACAGACGCCCAAGTTGATTCATACTATCCTTTTTCGTCATGAGGATGTCCTCACTTACACCCAGAAAAAGGTTTCCTTGAAATCCAACAAATTTCCTTTGAATTTTGACCTTACTAGACTTTTCTTTAACTTCAAAGAAATGATTTCTTTACCTTAACCCAAATTTTACTTGATCGAGACTGGAATCTCTGAGAGAATTCACATCTATTTCTTCAAATCTAGAAAATGTTTTAGTAGAAATGAATAAAAGTTTAGTAAATTGAAAGAAAGAAGATTTCAACGTATCTCATTTGTTTAACCTAGATAAATCTTTTTTCTGGGTGTAGGGCTCCGCTGCCTCATAAGCAGTCCATGGTTAATATGTCTAGGGCTCGACGTAAGTCGGGATATAGTTACAACCGGAAGTGCCGGCACGTTTCGGCCTGTCGCGGTGAAAATCGATAAAATCGCGAGATATAAGATCAATAGGAGGAGGTCGATGCGGCGGCGGGAAGTAAAGTCGCCGTATTATTTAATAATATTACGTTGTCCTCCCTTCTTCTCCTCCCCCTCTCTTCCGAGACAGCTGATTGCAATCTCATTTGTCGCGGGTAATACCGAAAGATGTGCGCGCAGGCATTCTCTCGCGACCTTTTATCGTGCCGGACACGTAACGCACACCGTGTTATCTTGTTTTGTTTTCCGCGTGCACAAGGCGTATACAAAAATAGTCATTACTGGCAGTACGATACGCGCCGCCTCGCGAGGCGACTGAAAATCGGAGCCGTATCGCTCCGATTTACGACCTGTGCATCACTTGGGTGTGTGCGTGATTTCAGGCGTGGACGCGGGCAACGAGAGCAGACGCGCCATTTCTCGATCGCTCGTGTCAGCGACTCGAAAACGCGCCGCTTCTCTACCTATAGAAGCGCCATACATTTATTTCGGACTGGTACCTCCGAAGGTTGCAGTAATAATGCAACTTCACGACTCAATCCTTGGATAAGTTCCTGATCAAAGTCTCTTCAAAATTATCTAAAAGAAGAAAAAGATTTGATCGAAGATACTATAAAAAAAAAATTATAAAAATAATCGTAAGAACTTAAAGACCCTTTTCAGACATGTAAATGTTAAGCAGATTGGATTGAAGAGGGACTATAAAATAAATATTATAAAATAATATTATAAGGACTTAAGGACACTTTCCAGGCATTTAAATGTTAAGAGGATTGGCGAGTGGGCGTAAGATCGATACACAGCGTGATTTCCGAATAAAAAAATTAATCTCCTACAATCCCACATACGCTTGATAATTCCTTCATTTTTCGACATTTTATCTCGACCTGACACGCACATAAATTTGTTCGCCGAGATAGAAAATTTTCTATTCCTCGATCTAGGCTTTAGATTGTATTTTCAAATGATAAGATACGAAGTCCAGTTCTCCCACTCGCGTGTTCGGTACGTTCCGCACGTTATTTCCGATCGGTCCGGCAGATTGATCAAAGTTTCTTTGCCCTCCACCCCTCTTCATGATTCTCGAGCCTCTTGTCTGCTCCACTCCTCTTCTTCTTCTTTTTTTTTTTAAATAAAGTATTCGCATATACATGTACACGTGACACGTCGCGTTCGCCGAGATCCGTCGATGCCTGACGAAGTGCACAAGCAGTTATCAGTCGCCTTACGAGCGGTTGCTATGCGATATGGTAGGGGTTCGCGGAGTCACCTACTAGCTCGACCAGTCAGAAGTCAGTGTGTGTAAGAGCCGGCCGGTTGTGCCGGCTCCTTTTCCTGTCCCTGTTTTCGCGCATACGTTCTTCTCGCGGCGCGCCTTCGCAACTTTGTCGCGCCGAAAAGAGAGTCCCTTCGTCTCGTCGGCGCGAGTGCCGATCCACGACCCGCCACGAGCGAGAGGGAAACAGGGAACGGGCATCCTCTCGATAACCACTCGCGTTCCGTTCTCCAAATCGACGCCCGAGTCCCGTTAAGTTTTGAAGGACCCGCGCCGGAAAGGCTCGTGGCACTTTTGCGACGACACCGTGGTTTTCGAGAGCAAGGTCGTCGTCATCGGCAAGGTGGCTCTCGGCACCAGTGGGGGATGCGAGTTGGAGATTTTTCGAGTTGACGGTAGCGACAAGTGTTCCATTTAAATTCCGTCTTGCTACCGGGTCGATACCGGTATCGGTCGCTGGCGCGGAATATTCGAAGGCAAACAAACACACGGAGCGGGCGATTTTAAGAGAACTTTCTCTCTCTCGAGAGAGAGAGAGACGGAATCACGGGAGAGGGGGGGAAAAATGTGCGAAAATAATATAGCTTGCTGAATTGTATTGTGTTGTGCGCCGACTTTGTTCGTGTCAAGTCAGCATCATATGGCGAAACGTCACGAGCGTTATGACGCTTGTATTCGTGTCGCAAAATTGCGTGCGCAGACGCAGGAGTGGATGTCATTTTTAAGAATAAATCCCCGTCGTTCGATCGCGGCGCTGATAGGTAAATAAATGTTGTACGAATGTTCGGTGAACCGCAAAACCCCTGGGTGGCCTGCACGAAACTCCGTGATCATCGACGGTACGATTGGTACTTAGTACATGACCGGCCCGTAAGTTCCACTGCGGTACGCGCAGGTTTTTGGATGAAAAGTAATCGATTGGTACACGATATTCGACCCGGTTTTGCGGAGAACCGTCATCATGACGCAGAGAGGAATCCAGGATGAATCGAAGACGTCTGCGGAACAAGCTAAGTCGATGGTAAATGAAAATGCCGCTTATCCTTTCGGTATCGCATTTAAAACACATTTCTCACGACGGTAAAATCTTGTCCGAAACTGCAAAAGTATTATTGTCAATTTACTGAAAGATGGTTTCTAATTGCAAGAGACTGCGGGCGCAAAGTCGGGCTGCGGAACGTTGGTTGCTCCTCCCGAGTCGTCCCGGTCGTCGATTGCACGTCTCGAATCTTCCGAGTTTCGTGCGAAATTTGCATAAAAATCTCGCAGCGTTTCACGAGAAGGCAGGACGAGTGTTCATTATGCAATTTGTTGCACTTGCATGCGATCTTGCGAGTGCACTATTTCCATAGTCGCGTTGGGGAGGCTCTCCGAGGGTCGACGACGGTCGACATAAGGTTATTCCACCCGAGGCGATACATGACACGAGTGAATTAACATTCCACGGTAATGCGCGGGTCGGGCCGATAGCGAAGAGGCCTTCTCGAACGCCTTGACACCGAAAACAGAAATTGGCGGTCGCGCTGGATCCATATCGTGTAATCTGCTATCGCTGCCGCGACGAGGTCGATAAGAGGCCGATACGCACATGCGAATTGCCGTCGTTTTGGCGACCTCCGCGAGTCGAGTCGTCGAGTCCTCTATTTGTTTTGATAACAGCTGTCTGCTATAGCGAGTCGCATTTTTCATGCGACTTACGATGCCTTTTGTATCTTGCGCGGTTTTGTAACGCTATTACGAAGAGACTGAGAGAAACCAAAGAACTAGGGCGAAAAAAATTACCATTTAATACATTTATTACCGCGAACATTTTATTGCGCAAAAAGTGATGATAATTCTTGGGCGATAGCTTGATTCTTGATGGATAGAAACATTGGTGTAAAAACGTCACGTATCGCTGTGTCGAGTTCTTTATGCATTACGGTCACGTTATGACTGTAATCTTTTATTATGAAATATCTTATTTACAACGGACAATTACATACGCTCGAATTCTTCACTTCTCTTAACGCTCCCGAATAACTTTCGTTACCGATATTTTCGAGTCAGTGTTAATCGCTTAATTCTCTACGCGCGATTGCAGATAACGCAAAGGCGTTTTGTGGTTGTGCGAAAATAGCTGTTCCTTTAAAGTAATGCCGACATTCGCGGCAATAAAATTTTCCATGCACCATCTACATTACAGTTACTGCAACGACGATGAATGAATGAATTCTTCCTCTCTTCCAGCGCAGACGCTTTGTTGAAGATAGACCGTGAATTTATTGCCGAGCAGATGCAACAAACGGCGATAACCGCGATAATTTCCCTCTCCTCGACCCCGAACAATGTTGTTAAGGTTTCGTTAATGATACAACGAATGCATATACGGAGAAGTTTCTCTCACGCAGCTTCTTATCGGGCTGCTTTAATCGTTTTAGTTTCCGTCCCTCTGCGTCTTCTTTTCTCGTGTATCGACTCCAATTATTTTTCTCGGCATAAAAATGTTGATCGCGAAACATTTTATTTCACAGATCGCAATACTGTTTTCGTCACACACTTGGCGTTTACGCATTTAATATCGGAATACGATGTAGCCCGTAGAATTAAATGTCTGTAAAACATTACACGTTTTTATTAAATGCAGTTATTTTCTTTTAAAATTATTATATTAACAAAGTAAAGCTTTATTAATTTATTATAGTTGCATTTTTTTAAGAGAGAGAGAAAGAGAACGCGCGCGCGTGTGTGTATTGCGATGACATTTCTTGCACAAGTCTTGCCATGTTAATGTTAATGCGATAACCCCGCTTTATTGTCTGACTTTTCCAACCAACAATTGATAATATTATTAATAGTTGCACGATTTTCAGGAAAATTTAAACTCGCGTTATGAAATGTTACTACTAATTTCGCAATTATTTTAGTCAAGTTTTATGACTATTTCAACTCCCTCTAAAGATTACTTTAACAATATATTACTAAACATACCCTTAAGTATCTTCTGAAAATTAAGAAATTATTTAAAATCCCGGTACAACGAACGTTTTAAACGTTAGTTCTTTTAATATGATTATGTAAAGCAATAAAAGTATTCAATGTAATAAATATTTGTTAAAATAATAAAGATATATTAGTTTATAAGATAACGGGGTATTAAAAATAAAATTAAAAGTTAACCAAATTCTTTCGATAGGTTGATGCATTTGCTCTTAAAATACGATCGCGATTGCTTTTTTGTCTGCCAGAAAACCGACAACAGTTAATTTATCAAAAATGTGTCGAGGAGTTCAAGGTCCGTTTTGTAGTATATCGAACGTGAGTGGCGTCAATTTATCAATTTTTATAGCTGCTATAAATATGTCAACGCTAATCGTTCCATCGCCGATCGCGGACAAGCGCTCACACTTATAACTTGCGTATATATGTATACATTGTAAAGAAGAACAGATTGGCATGATGCACCGATTACGTAAATATGTCTATTTATAAACAACGGTCACATGTAAAAAAATATTTACACTTACATATAACTATATCAAACGCGATAATTGTTGGTCACAAACGCTTGATAAGAGCGGATGTAGGAAAATTACATTTGTTTTTTCTAGTCGATTGTTGTTTAACAGACTATTGCAACATTTCCAAGTCACAACAACTGGGACTATATCATATTATTAAGGGATGTGGAGAAATACATTAATAGTTGTAATTAACGTATAAAATAATTTATTTCTTCATCGTTAAAGCTTTTGCTAACGGTAATGGAAAATCAGAAAAATGACTAATTTTCTTTACTTAATTTCACAGATTATAATGTTCAACTATACTCGTATACTGTGAAGGATGTAATTCTATTGGTGTAGTATTCGTTAGATTTATGAAATATTTTTCTTCCTGATGCGTATTTGACGCGTCTTTCAAGCGCGTTATCGATAGCTCGCGTGCACTTTTACAATGAGATAGAAATATCATTCCTTTTATGTTATATCGCGGTATTTCTCGCGCCATTCAAATATCACGACCTCAGGATTCGCCTATCGTGCACTCTCAAACTTTGGATTCAACCTTAGAAACATTACGAAATGTATTTTTACAACGCAATAGACAGTGAGAGACTTTCTCAGTATGTGTAATATAGAGCGTTTATCAATTCAAAGGTGACATTATCTAGAGTCAAGTTGCTGAGAAGAATTATAGATACAATAAGCTTTCGCGAAAATATGACGTTTAAAACAATCATTAATTGATACTCGTATAAATGTGCATTTATACAAGTAGTGTCAATTATTATTATTATTAGTTTTATAAAAATGATAAAAACGTTATTTAACATTGCTACGAAGAAATCTCGTTCTCCAGATGTGACGAAGCTTTTTGTTTTATATACCAGTACCGATTAATATTTCATTGCACCCAGTTTTTTATGCGGAACGTAATTATTTTTCGCGTCTGCAATTGTCCGTGCATTCACCGTCGCGACACGCGACGATAAAATCCGCCATACAAATATACGAGTACATTCTAATTATAGTACGTACATCAATATTTTACGCTGCGTATAGTCGTTACCCTGGTATGAGTTCTTCTTCTTTTTTTAACGCTGCTTCTCCTTTCTTCACTTTCGCCAACAAAGAAATTTATAAAGACGTTATCGTTTCACAATTCATTATAGCAAGCGTGCTCCGAATGGTCGTGGCTACCTAATGATGTCTGTTCTGCGGTAATTAACGCGCTGATTTCAATCTGGTTCTTAGCTCTCTGTAGTTTGATAGACGATGAAGGGACGAACAGTGTTCTGATGTAATCTTCGACTGTTTGTTATTATAGCAATGATTCTTTTTTTATCATACATTGATGTCATCCTGGCATCGAGTTGGGTATTTGTGTAGAATTGGCGGCAAAAATCGCGATTTATGGCAAGCAACAAATTCAAATTTTTGTACGAAAAATTCATGTTTATTATTTATTCAATATTGCTCATATAGTCGGAATGAAACGTTGACAAGAATGAAAAAATTCATAGACACAGTTCATAATGATTCGGAAAGGTAGTTTTGTGGAAATTAGGTTTACGATTCCATATTGGATTTGCGAGTTCCCGCGAGAGATTCACGAGAATTCATCTATTTTCATACGATGCGGGATCCACCTTACACTCCACCTCTAATAAAACATTTTTTAATTTTTATCCTACAAGAACTTGAAGCCTCCTATTAAAACCTTTTATACATATGTTTTTATAGCTTGTTTTGTTAATTGCCACACAAAAATCGCGATTCCTGCTGGAGCGTCAATTCTGCATATTCACTTTGAGTTGTAACAAGTGATTAGGGATACGAGAAAATAACATCGAAAAAAACTTTAAATATACCATATTTGAAATTTTAGTTTTGCGAATAATAACGAATCTTACCCAAGACGCATTTCAAGAGTAATTGGCCATAGAAGGGTTAATTACAGGAGTCAATCGATGTCGATGCTTTATTGCTGGCGAAGATGGGTTCAGCTAGGGCGAGTAAAGGCTTATCTTATGTGAATCGTAACTACTAGTTGGCGTCTTACCACAGGCTTTGCAATTCAAATAATTTACGTCTGATAATAAACGTCGTGTACATAATCACTTACGTTCTCGCACGTTGAATAAAGATGATCATTCGTCATTTTGATTCAGTTTATTATATTATTACGCAACTGTTGAGTATATTAGCACTTCGAGAGTGTTGAAACAAACTCCTCAATATTTTAAATTTCTTTATAATTATAATTATTAAATTTTGCGTACAATTTTTCTATTCTTAAACTACTAAACAATTAAGTTATAACTTTATGTTTATGTGACTTCACGTTTATTTAAAATTACGTCAAAAATAAAATTCTTATTTAGTTTCTTTTTCTAATGTTCATATTCACAATTATCAGTTAAATTTTTTTTTAAATATTTCTGTTGATATGTAACTATTTCTAAATGAAAATAGTAATTCTTTTATTATTGGTATTCTCGCTGATTGCGAGACGTTTATGGTATAATGTAATTCAATT